GTGGCATTGTTATTGTTACTCAAGAGAGGTTCACTTGGAGATTGTTGGTTAGTGTTCATGGCTTCCATGCTCTCACTCAAACAGCCTCTTCAAAATCTAGAAATAAACCTTTCTTTGTGCCCAGTGGTTAAGGGCTATAGCAAGATGAAATATTTTGTTTTTTACTCTTTTCTGGTAATTAACAGGGCTGGTAGAGCACAATCAGGGAACATTCTGGCATTGTTAACATCTGCTGCTGCCTGAGCTGCAGAAAGAAGCAAGTGCTAAAATCCTGTGTCTAAAAGATGATTGATGCCTCCCATCTTTTCCTGTCCTCCAGTCCATTTACTTTTCCAAATGCTTGGAAATATTGGTGAGTGGTGCAAGCAGCAGTCTCCAGTCCAACCAGAGTTTTCTTCTGCTGTTGGCTCTGTGGTAGTGATTTTAAGGTTAGCTTTAAAATGGGTTTGCCTAGAAAGAGAAGGATTCAGGCAGTTGCCATCAGCTAATAGGCACAGGCCAGAGATCTTCAGCCAGCTTCTGTAAGCGTGGTGTCTGGTGGTTGAGTTAGACTATGGCATGCAGTAAGTTCTCTCAGTCAGAATGAGAACCTCAACAGTGCCAGCTGCTGATTACACCTTCTGTGTTAAAAATAAACGTCCACTGTTTTAACTGGCTGATTTTAAATTTTACCTTCACTCTGCTTTTAAAAGATCTTAGCTCTAAGGCTCTCTGAATGCTGTACAGACATTAGCAAGCCTTGATGATGCTCCTGTAAGGCTGCCTGGTAAGCAGAATTACTCAAATTTTCAACTTTGCAGAGGGCTCCTGTACCAAATCTATTCTTTACTCGTTTCTTCTTTCTTTCTTTCTTTCTTTCTCTTTCAATCTCTCTTTTAATCTTTCTTCTTCAGAAATTGCAACAAACCCCGCTATCGGCTGCTGGATTGAATTCTAAATACAACATGCAAATTTTGTGATTGGTTCCATTTGTTACAACGAGTGGAACTAATTCTCTGGATCCAAGTATAATTAGATGAATCTAGATCATAAGTCTGGGAATTGCACCCAAAAATATGAGGTTCATTTTCCTTTGTTCTCTCGTTTCACTGAATAACAATAGTAAGTACTAGCCTTTCCTGTTCAAAATCTATTAAGGGCAATGAAGCCTATAAAGAAAAAGCATGACAACCTATGGGAAAAGCACATCTTTACAAGCTTGCAGAACTGAAGTATTGGAGGAAGGTAGCTATACATGCCTCAGGAATGATGCAGACAATTCGCTTTCTATTTTTTCTTAATAACCTGACCTTTGTATTTTTACCTGTGTTTGATAGCTTTTATTACCTGTTTTGCCTCATTGTGAAGTGGCAGCAGTGAAGTAGTTTAACCGTTGTTTTTTTTTCATGCGGAGGTGATGCAGGTTCCTGTCAGTCTCAAAATGACTCTAGGATCAATGCTTCTACTCTAGTGTTTAAAGTCTGAAGAGTTCCTAATGTCTGCATTGAGCCTGGTTTTGTTTCTCTTCATCCTGAGAGATCTCACCTGCTAGCAACCCCAGCAGAAATGGGAGAACAACAGTGTCTCTTTAGTATGGAAAAGCACGTAACTGTTTCAGAAAGCATTGCAGTTTCAGCATCAATCTGAAAGTTTGACTATCCTAGAGCTTTCAGGTTCTGCCCTGCTAAAATAAAAACCTGAGCTCGCAAGTGACCCTGTGGTGAGGCTTGAATGACTTGTTTGCTTTGTTGGGACTAATTCATGAAATAGGCCCAGAGGAAATAGACAGGAAAGCATGCAATTCATAATAACCCCTCCAGAGAATAACTCATTTCTTTCTCTTCCAGTAGTATTGTCAGGCTTCAGCGTACATAAAAACAGACCTGGCACAGGGAGTACAGATAAGCTAATGAAAGGTTGGAGAAAGGTTGTCTTTTTTTTCCCTCCTAAGCAAAGGATGATGATTTGTAATGAAGTCTCCTTTAAATTGAGACTTGCTAACATCCTTTGCTGTAGTTTTGGAGAGTTTTGTTTGCCTCCACATCTTGAAGACCAGAAGACAGTATCTGGATTTGCTTAAGTAGCAGCAGAAAAATGAACAAATCTTAAATTTATGGAGAACTACAAGTACTCTACGTGTACTTGGGTAGTGTCAGGAGAGGCAGATATAATTCTTTCATAGAATCATGGAATCACCAAGGTTGGAAAAGACCTAAAAGATCATCCAGTCCAACCGTTCACCTATTCCCAATAGCTCCCACTAAACCATGTCCCTCAACACAACATCCAGCCTTTCCTTGAACACCCCCAGGGTCGTTGACTCCACCACCTCCCTGGGCATCCATTCCAGTGCCTGACCACCCTTTCTGAAAAGTAATACTTCCTGATGTTCAGCCTGAATCTCCCCTGCTGTAGCTTGAAACCATTCCCTCTGGTCCTATCACTAATGACACGAGAGAAGAGGCCGACCCCCAGCTCACTACAACCTCCCTTCAGGAAGTTATAGAGAGCAATGAGGTCTCCCCTGAGCCTCCTCTTCTCCAGGCTGAACATTCCCAGCTCCTTCAGCCTCTCCTCATATGGCCTGTGTTCCAGAACACTCATTCTACACAGCCATGAGGAAAAGAAAATGGAGTGCTGTGCCCAATTTGCTGGGTACACTTTGAGATAATGTGGACAATGAGGAAATGCCAAGGAAGAACAGAGAGAGCAATTGAAGATCTTGAAAGCACAACCTCAAAGCAATTCTCATGATTAAATGAGAATAAAAATAAAGAAAATGCAACAAAAGCTTCAGAACAGATAGGCTTGTGCACAGAAGGAAGATGTTGTTCTCCATAACAATGGAAGTGAGATGGGAAATAGTACATTTCAGTTTCAACAGAAGATCAAGAATGATGCTTGGGGAAACTTGCTAGTGGTGAGGATATTGGCGCAATGCTTTGAAGCACCTGGGCTGTCACGTTGTTCCTGATCATTAGAAGTGGTTAAGGCTAGGCTAGCCAAACAGATTACAAAATTACATACATCATGCTCAGCTACTAAAGTGATCAATATTTGCTTAGAAGGCTGCTTTCTAACAACTAATACTTCAGTCAAACCTTTAAGTTGTGGGAGACTCAACTGCGCTATCTCTGCAGACCTTTAGCCTTAGAGAAAATACTTTAAGGTAAATAACCTCACCTATTGACTTCAGCGAATTTTGGTTTGTTTGAGGATAGCACAGAAACAGTAAATCAGACCAAGAAGAGTGAGGAGCTGAGGTCTGAGACCTGAGCTGGGATGGATGACTTGAAATAATGTAAGATGAAATCTTAGAATCATAGGGTCATTAAGGTTGTAAAAGAACTTCAAGGTCATCTAGTCCAACTGTCCGCCTACCACTAATGCTGCCTACTAAATCATGCTCCTTAGTACTGCATCTCCATGGTTAGTGGACACTCCCAGGAGTGGTGATTCCACCACATCTCTGGGCAGCCCATTCCAGTGCTTGATTGCTCTTTTGGAGACCTTTCTCCTAATATCCAATCTGAACCTCCCCTGGTGCAACTTGAGGCCATCCCCTGTCCAATTTGACATCCACTGTCCAATTCTGTCTGTTGAATTACTTTGTCTAAAAGCAATTCTCATGGTGTTTTTAGACTCCATTAACCCCAGAGGGAAATATTAGTAGATTTTTCCCAACTCTGATGTTTGTTAGACTGTGAAATATTTTTCCCTCTGGGAGATGCATAAATGTGGATTGGACAAAGTGCTGGAAAATGTAGGCTCTTGTACACTTTGGAGACAATGAGTTCCATAAAGTCAGGGCATCTGAACTGGGTTCAGTTTCTTATTTTGTTACTGATTTATTGTATACTTAATTATATCTTGAGATATACTTTTGGGAACCACAATAGTGCTGAGATGGTCTGACCTAAAATTTTAAGGGGAGGGATAGGATCTGGTAGGATCTAGGACTCCTGCTTTCTAATTTCAAGCCCATGTTTCAGAGAAGCTGCGTGCATCCATTCTAGAAGGCGATTCTGAAGCAATCGACTTTAGCACATAAATAGCTGTGTTTGGAAGTTAGTAGTTCAAGTCTATAACAAAACTGTGGGCCAGCAATTAGTCCCGGGTGCTCTGGCATAGTGTTTATATCACAGCTGACTCCCTGCTGTTTTGCCTTTAGAATGCAGTACAACATCTGTAACAGCTGTCTAGGGGGTAATTTCTGTCATGCAGTTACAGAAGAAACAGCAGTGTAATGAGAATGGTGCCTTTTCTTGCATAGTTTTATAAAGTTGATCTCAAACTTATCTTTGCTCAAAAGGTAGGAAGGCCCTGTCTGTTGCATTACCTATAGAGGTACCTCTTCAGGAACTTACCCATCACCCTGCTCTAAGAGCAGTTTTCCAAGCGCTGCAGTAGGATTTAAATCCATTCTGGTTTGACTGCATTAAAACCATAAATTTCTGAGAATATCTTAATGTTTTTTGTTGTTGGGTTTTTGTGTGTGTTTTCTGTTGTTGCTGATAATTATTTTCATGTAGAATATTACACTCTCACTGTTGTTATTGGTATGGCTACCCAAGCAATACAACTTATTCTGCTGTACGTACTTTCCAGGTTACATCATAGGAGGGAGGCTTCAGGCTTGATTTGACTGTGAGTTTACACCCAAACATCCTCGAACTCTGAAGATATTTAAACAAGCAAAATATAAAAAATATATAGAAGTATAAAAGAGCAAAAAAAGATTGTTTCTAACACTGCAAAGAGTCTTGAATCTCACTTGCTGAGAAGCAGATTTAGGCTGCTGTTGGCTTGTGGGCAAGGACAAAGTCACGGAGTCTACCAGGGAGCCTTTCCTGTATTCTTGTAGCTTTGCAGACTTGGTAGTGTAGAGGAAATGCTGAATTGTGGCCTGAAACAGTGATTGAGCACCTGGTGGGAAAGCAGAGTGAGCCCAGGGAGCTCAGGTGCATGCAATGTACCTAATGACTGGAATGGGTGGAGCCAGGATGCACCCCTTCCCAGACCTCGTTGAAGGGTTGGCAGTGGAGGTGAGGGTAACTTTCTGGAGATCCCTGCCTATGTGAGGCCTTCCAAAGGTAAGCAGCTCTTTTCCTTCATTTCTGCATCTGTGGCTGCTGTGTTTGGGCTTGTCTTCATTTCTGATAGCCAAAAACTTTGCCTCCCCTCTGTTATTGTGGTGCTTTCCATCACACTGTAGTGTTAAGGTACTTTGGGATATTTCATTTCTTCCTTTGTTTATGGATGCTGTGTTTTTATGCTAGGTTCCCATGGTTTTATTTGGCTATGGTTTGGGTCTAATCAATACATTGATTAGATCGTTATAACAATCCTCCAACTAGTATAAGAGGAGGACAGAAGAAACTGTGGCAGGTTTTCTAGCTCAGTGTGACACCATACCAATATTAGTAGATTATGTGTGTGTGACCTTGGTAGCTCATTATTCACAAGGTAGATATTTTTCTTCTGACTGTCCTATGCTTTACTTACTATTAATGTGATAAGTGCTGTGTAAAACATACATTTTGCATGGCTAGTAGTCTTGCTGTGATGTTAACTTACATGCTTGCAGGATTTGGGGAGAACTTCAGACAGAGCTTGGAACAAAATTCCAGGAGCAAATGATCTGGTAGCTTGGTGCTAATGGTGTGTGACATTCCATAATCATTGTATTAACAGTTGATGTGAGAAATTTCAATTTGTGAACCGAGTACAAGCATCCTTATTAGTATTATGGGTTGCTTCTTGTGAGACTTCTTAGCAGCCAAGCTAAGCCTGCTGTTTCCAAAACCATCAGGCAGAATTTGATGAATCAACAGACTGAATAACCCAGTGCTTATTTCCTGAAACAAAGAGCACCTGTAACATAGAAGGGGTAGCTGCCTGGCAAGAGGCTGGTATAGATATGTACAAATGTTGGGTCTGGGAAGAGAGCTAGGGACAAGTGGCTACACAGAGCCAAGTGTAAGCATGGTTTGGGTTATGAGACCTTTTTGTCAGGTGTTGGTGCGTCTTCAATGCCTCTTTCAGTTCCTTGATAATAAGCCCATGTTCATGTGGTGTCTGGCCTGGAAGGAGGTTAATACTTCTACTCAGGAAAGCCAAGTCACACTCTTTTCGACCTGGGATGTTTCTTGTTGCTTGCGGGGTTGTTTCTATTTGTTTTGTCCTTTGGGTGTGTTGCTTGTGAGGTGGGAATTGCATTAGGCTTGGTTTGTTTGGTGAGAGAAGGAGAGGCCTGTTTGTCAGGTATGTTTTCTTCTGAGCTTCTTTGGCTTTTGCCAACTTGGTCTCAGCCCTCAGGCTGAAGAGGCAGGTATGAAATGAGGTAAGCTATTAAAATAATAATCTAAAAACCCAAACCACACACATGGAACAGGAGGAGGATTTTTGTGAAGCCTGGATGGTGTAGAAGGCACAGAGGTTCTGGACCTCTTTTTCTGCTACACAGGATATTGCTGAAATCTTGCAAGTGTCCCTTGGTTATGCTGTGGCAGGGAGCAGGAGGGCAGGGTCTCTCATGTAGGAGCCTTCTGGTCATGCCTGGAGGTGACAGAAGCTGCACTTCAGAGATTTTAGTCTGTAGTGGGTGGATCTGACACACTTGTGCATCCAGCATAAGCAAGCTGCCAGAAGAGGTCTTTCTTGCTAAATGGGTGTTAAAATCATTCTTTGAAATACGTCTCATGCTTGAATTGCAGCCTTGCATTTGTAAGGTATTACTTCCTTGAAACACCACAAAGAGCACCTGTGGACAGCTGCTGCTTTTATGCTGGCATAACACAACACTGGCATAAGGGAAGTGCTTTCTCATCTTGGAGACTTTATTCAGAAGGTACCAGGGCTGAGCCTGTGTCAATGTCATCTGTTTGAGTGGTTTGGAGAGGAGGGTCCATTGGCAAGCAGTCATATTCAGTCTGTGACCCTCCATGAGAGGGCATAGCTCAGAGTTATCTTCAGTCTGATGGTACAGGAGGTGTAACAGCCCTGCTCGTGTATTGTTGAACAGCAAGAAGGATGAGGACAGAATGCTTCTTCTGCAGAATGTTTTGATATACAACACTATGAAGACAAACTCTAGAAGATGGGGAAATACAGATCAGATCCTCAGATTTTTTGATGGTGGCTTTGGAGTCACTGTAGCTAAATTACAAAGTTGGAGAGAGGCTTTTACTTTCTAGAGAATATGGATTCTCTATCGCAAGATCTCTGCTCAACTCTTGTTGTAACAGTTACTCTTTCCCTTTCAAAGGTTTGCACTTGGCGGTGGCCTTCAACAAAAGCTGACCAGAACAGAAATTCTTACTGAAATAGAAGTTAGGTCCAGTGAATCCCTTTGCTGACATTATTGCCTGTAGCCTGGATCAGGGTGAATTCTCATGACAAATCAGGAAGCACTTTATAAGGTTCTGTAGAGAGCCATTCCCTAAGATAGCTTCCTATGCTATGTCACTGACCACCAATACCAACCCGTGAGTGGGATTTAGTGGATGGGACAGGGAGGTGAAATGAAAGGTAAATATTTACTTATTGGACAGCTGTTGGCGTGCGATGCTGCTGACAATGACTGCCAAGATTACCTGGCACTTAGCATTTAAGTGAATGAATCATTACCCTCTTTTCAAAATGATATTGCATTTTTGCAATTTTCTATGAATAAAGCTGCCCTTGTTTGCTACTAAGCTTTGTGCTGGGAAGTGGGGGAACAGTGCCTGGCTAATAATGGTGGACAGTAAGGAAATGCAGCTGTCTCAGCAGATGGATAGATATATTGGGGATGCAGCTCATGGTGCTTTGTACTTGCATGAAGGAACTCGTGCAAATCAAGACATTGTGGATGCCAGCATCTCCTGGCAAAAGGCTTAAATCCTTGATGCAAAAATTCATTCTGATTGGTCTGTTGAGAGCACTGACTGCATCCAAAGTCTTGCATGCTCAAGAGTTTTCCCTGGTAAAAACTTCTGGTGGACTGTTTTCCCAGTCATTTCACCTACCATCACCTTGCACCATTTCTTGATGTTGATAAAGGGGAGGAGATTTTTGTAGACTTTAATGCTATAAACATGCCCTGTGTGCTTATTTTGAAAGGGTAATGGCTCTCCCTGCCACTCATCAGTCAGAGACAGCTGTTTCAGATGCCTTCCTCTTTCATCCCCACAAAAAGGACAGGTTTCTCCTTAAGTTGGCTCCCCAGCACAGCTAAGGATAGAGAAAGCAGAACTTAGAACAAGGATTCACTATGAATCACAGTTCCTTACTTCCCCACCCTAGCTCATCTTAGAGCTGCCTGTAGGCTACTCTGGCTTAATGCTGCTGCTAAAAAGCATGCTCCTGCCACTTTTCTTCCTTGCCCTGGCTTGCCCTCCCTGTTAGGGAAGCTGCCAGGAATCCCCTGCTACATATGCAACTGCAGGGGTGATACAAGCACAGCTTTGTGTTCAACATGGCATTTAGAAGCTGTTTTCCCATTGCTGGTGATCAGGCCAACATCTGTCTCCTTGTTTACAAGGATGCAATTGTAAGTTGATCAGAAAGGCTGGGTTTCTTTGGCTGCCACTTATAATAATTGCTGAAATGCATTTCCATACCAGCAGGGAGAATCTCATAATATATAGATAGACCCTCTAATCTGTTCTACATTAGCAAATGATGGAGACAGTCGAGACGTGATAATGAAAGCTAAGTTGTTAGAAGGCTGAGATCCTTTTAGCTAAAGCTTGGTAATTTGTCAGGCTGAATGCTGTCTTGTTCAGTTCTTATGCTCTGAGGTTTGACCTGAGTGGGGACTGCAGATCCCAGAACCTCTAGCTCTGGCTGGCAGGCATGCTTGGCTGGGCTGTTCCAGTGCTGTCTTTTTATTATACTGCCAACCACAAAAGGTGGTATATTCAGTGCTAATCCCAGGTATTCTCCATAGTACTGGGGTACTAGCTGTGAGCTTAGTTTGAGCACAAGCTTGTTCAAGCATGTGTTCAAGTATGTGTGTGTAGTGGAGTCATACATGAGTACTGCTTACAACAAGGAAGTAGTTGTGATCATCTGTGGGAGCACCTGGATTTGTGTTTCTGATTCAGATCACTTTCATGACCTCTTGGCAGTCTGTATTTGGGCAGAATCCATGAATCCTGTAGCTCTTTCTCAGTGTCTTTAATGTGCCTGAACAAAATTCAGTTGTGCAGCAATTGTGGGATGTCCAGGCTCATTTTGCATAGCTGTTTCCATGGACTTGAAGCTATTTATTTGGCTCCACCCCCCTTCCCATTCCTGCTGTCTTTTTTTTTTTTTTTTTTTTTTTTTTTATGTGAGAAGAGCTCCTATCTATTCAGGAGGTCTAACACCTAGCAGATAAAACAGAGACTGAGATGGCATTTTGAGCTAACGTTGTCCCTGGGGTTAGAGCAGTGCATCTGTGGTTGGCCAGTTTTCACCAGAGGGAATAGATGAGTATGTCTGTGTAATCCTATAGTAACTACACTGCAAATTATTTGTGAAAGAAGAAGTCTTTCTCCTGCAGAAAGACTTCAGGCTACTGTAACTAAAGGAGGTGGAAGGCAGAGATGCATTGCCCAAATGTTTTGCTACCTGCTTAAAGTAAATGTATGTATGGTTAGGCTGTTGTCTGCAGAAAGCTTTATTTCCTTCTCACTGGAGCAATTTATATGCCTGTGTCAGCTTTTCAGGAAGCATCATGTCAGTGGAAATGTGAAGTCTGATCTTTTAACTCTTTGACCTTACTTAAATTCTCTGAGTTCTCAGCAAACTAAGATTAATTGAATGGCTTTAGACATTCAGTGGGAGCTTGTGCTGCAGTGACCTTACTGATTGCTACTGATGAGGAGGAAGAATAACAATTTTGAGCTTCTACAGAAGTAGCTTTCCATCACTGTGTTGCAGACAGATCTTGTCCTTTGGGTAAAAGAACCATGTTGGTGTGTAGAAGGATGTACTCTGTTATTCTCAGCACTTCTGGAGGTTTGACTTACAAATAGAGTTTTGGAAAAATCTAGGAAATGAGTCAGTCAACCGTGGATGGAGAAACACAATTGCTGACCTCTTTTAGATGTTTTCTTTCTCAGTGTGAGTGCTGCTATGTAGTTTGAAATGTCATCTTCATGGCTTGCTTTAAGAGAAGGAAATACTGGCTAAGGAGAAGGTAGGGTGTTTTGGCAGATGGCAAGGCTGGAGCTCAGGAGTTTCTATCTGGATTTTTGAGTAGACTACAGACAACCCAGTCAAGCCAAGAAATATGCTTGTGACCTTGTCTTTATTTTGTTTGAATGTCAGGTTCTTTTGATCAGAGTCTACCTAAGTGTCTGAAGGATGTCTAGTGTAGTGGTTCTACTTTCTGAGCCAAAACTTTTTTACCTCATTTACCACTTGTAGAACAGCAGTGTCCACCTGTTTCAACAGTGCGATTAGCCTATGGAAATCTGTATATCTGCTGGAACTTCTTTTGCACTGGTTCCAGCAGCTGTATGTTTGAAAGGACTGTGTGCTTAAGCACTGATAGAGGAGCTGAAAGACTCATACTGCACCTCCCCGCTGTTTAAAGTATTTGGGCACTTTCAACGTGCGTGACCAAGGCTGGCTGCCTTTTGCCACTCTCATAAGCAAAGCAGTCTTTGCTCATCTCAATAATGTGTTGCGTCCTTAAAAAGTCATTGGCACAGACTTCCCTGGCACTGGGTTCTATCTTTGTGCCAGATCTCGTCTGCCACCTAGATGGATTGCAGTTGTACCCAGCAGTAATGTTCTCTGTGATGCTGATTCCTCTGGGTATGTTCTTATAGTCCTTTATTGCTTAGCCCCAGAGATTTTATTTTAAGCTGGAAGCATGCAGTATCACTACTTTGTTGCTTTACAACTTTTTCTCCAGTCTACCTTGTTCTGCCAATCTGTCTTTTTGTCTGGCTCCCTTGCCTGTCGAGATTGTAAACCCTTGAAGAAAGGGATGAGTTTTGTTACTCCTGCAGTACTCATTCATAGCTTCTCACTTGATGGAGAAGCACTCGTAAACTTTCACTCGCATGACAGCATTGATTATATTAGACAGGTTTTAATTAAAAGGTGGTTAAGAAGTCAGGTGCAGCCTCCAAGCACAATGTACATAATAATCTGGGTAGCTGCAAATGCTCTGAGATCTCATAATAACCAGAGGTGAAACTGGTCATATTTTTGTTTCTACTGAGTGTGTTTTCATAGATGATGTGGGGATGTCTACAGTGTGCTTGATCAATTAAAATTACTTCTATTATGAGATTTCCCATTTGGAGAAGTGATTACAGGTGTAATCTGTTTGCAATTGGTTTACACGCTCTTGATCATCTTCCAGTGGCTATCCTGATCCGGGCCCAAAACTGCTCTTGCATCTTTCCACAGACCTTTTCCTTTCTTAACTGTTAAATAATAGAGAAAACATAAATATCTGATACTCTGGTATTTTAGTCCTATATGTAGTACAAATCCAGTATTAACTGCTGCTGCATTTACCAACACTATGCTGGTGTGGCATAGTGTGGTAAATCCAAAGTTGTTGCAGCACAGCACTGAGTATGCATCAGCTGCTGGCTCCCAGAAGTGGCCCAAGACAGACAATACCACTTGTGAGAACACCAACCAGGGCAGAGGGTTTAAGAGTTGAAGGTCAGGGCAATTATTTCTGCGTCAGTCTGAGGGTGGCCGTAAAGGATTTAGAAGTTGTAAGCAAGTAAATTCATCTTGCTTGTGCTAAGAAAGTTACTGTCTCATAGAACCAGATATCAGGGTTTAGGGTTATCATTCCAGGTGTACCAAAGAGGAGAGTCAGTCTGCCACACCTCTGTTTTCTGGCTGAGGCCGTAAAGGCTATGCTGTGTTCATACTTACCTGAGGAGCATTAAAACTTCTCCTTAGCCTTCTGATCTGTATTTTACCTTTTTAGTTTCCTCCACTCTAGGTATGCTTGAACTATGTGCAGTGTGCTTGATGTCCAGGCACAAATGTCTACATCTGAATGCAATTAGACTAAACAATGTTTACATGTTAGGATATGCCTCCCTGGTTGTTACTGCAGTTATTGGTGAGGTGAACTGCAAGTTGGCTGAGGGCACTGAGGCTAACAGTTCTGTTGTGGTGTAAAGTAGTACAGTAACTTTAATGACTGGAGGAACTTGGCTTTGTTTCTCCTAAACCGTTACCATCGTGAAACTTCTTATGCAGTTTCTGAGGTTGGAGGAAGAAGTAAAGAGAGAACAGTCTTACTGCATAGGAAGAATGCACAGAGCAACTCACCCTGACTTGCAGCACGCTCCTGTTCTCCTCCACCCAGTTCCCACTGGTAATACAGATGTACTCTGTTGCTATTTCCCCTTCTTTCTTTGTCACTTGATCTTACAGACTTGCTCTTGTTTCAGCCCTGTAGTTGCATTTCTTTCCCTGCAGCTTCACTCGGACCTCACGTCTACCCGTGCTGTGCTTCAGCCCGAAGCACCGCGCGCTGCTGCCTTCAGCACTGGGAGAGCTCCAGTGGGATCCGTCCCGTCTGCAGGGATTGCGGCTTCGGGCAGTTTGAGACATCTGATGCTGTCTGGCACATGGGAGATGTTTACTAATTCGTTTGCCTTAAACAGATGTTCAGTAATTTGAGTTGGATTGGGGACTACGCTCTGCTTAGCTCCATACTGAGTTTGAGGAAGACTGTTGTGTTGGATTTTGATTGATGACAATGGTGGCTTTTCTTGATCAGAAATATCTCTGTGATCAGACATGTCCTCACTAACTGCTTTGGCACTGTTATCTAGCAAGGCCTAAGCCTGATCTAAGCCTTATTATCTTTGGCAAGTTTCCTGTGACTGTATTTAAAGACTTTGAGTATGGACTGAGTCATATTAGGCTTGCACCATGCTGCATTGAATGAAATATGGACCAGTCTATAAAGAGAGAAGATTTGCTTCCACTTAGAATAATCTTTTCACAAAGAGATTTAAAGAAAAAAAAGATCCTGTAAGCCCTTCTCTACTCTCGAGAAACCTTTATATCCCAGAATTCAAAGGCAAGAACATAGATAACACAAAGTGATGAATAAAAATGGGAGTCAAAATTGTCAGATACTATGCATAGGTAGAGGATGCTTATTTTTGGTCCTGGTTGTGTATTTGGAGCCAGATTCCCTCTCTATGTGAAACAGACTACTTGAATGATGTGAGGTTTTAAATTCTCCAAGTGACCAGATGGGGTTTGCCGCAACAATAGGGTTTCTGCTTGGTTTTGGGAAGGGCAGTGATTTTGCTGGCATTACACAAGTCTATGTGAGATAAAAATAAGGAACCTTCTTTTTCCAGCTTTTTTGATTTATGAAACTGCTGGAAATCAAAACTCTATTGCCATTTGAAATTTTTTTTCTCCAAACTGTACTGGATGTTCTTCACATTAATTTGTGGATTACAGAATGTTCTAGGCAAAACATCAGTGGGACAGTAAAACATTAATGCAAGAGTTCAGCTAACAAAATAAAACCACAAAGTTCTTCTATCCTACTTAATAATGACTCGAGTAAAATGGGGACAGTTGTGTGGTCTAGTGGCTAGTGAGGGGTGTGGTCCTCTGGATTCCTGGAGCTGCTTCCCAGCTCTTCTTTCCCATGCTGGTTGACCTTAAGTAAGTTTACTCCTTGTAAATTGGAGCCTGATGTCTGGCTAGGAAACTTATTAGGAAACTTAATTTTTCAGAGAGCATTTTGGGAACTTGAGATGACAGGTGCTAAATAAAGATACTTCTCTCTATTAAGTAGCTCTAAGAAAACACACTGAGATTCCAATTTTGTGACACTGGTACTTAGAGAACTCATCTTTTGGCTTTTTATGAATTTATGATCTGGAGTTGTCAAAGATGACAAACGTGGATACTCCTGACCATTTCCTAGGATGACTGTTTCAATTTTCAGCATTCCAGTCTATTGGCAAGAGAAAAGCAATGAATTTCCATTTCCACGTCAGCAAATAATTCTGGATTTACACAGAACTGTGTGGCAGTGGTCTTGAGTACAGCTGAAGTGCACCAGAGCCAGAAAGTTAAGATGATTATGAATGGGAATAAAGCAGGTTGTCAAAGCTTTGTTTTCCAAGTTGAGTGTAAGGCATCAGTGGGAAAAAGCAAACAGCAGGGGAAAAGTGTGCTAATCAAATGGGCGAGCAAGTCAGAAGAGTTATCCTGCAGAATACCACTATTAGAACACTTAAGAAAATTCTGTAGAACTCTATTAATTGAAAGGGGGCAGCAAACATCTTTCTGCCTCATGCAGTGCTTAGAAAGTGATGTTATAAAATAATAAGATGCTGTGATAGTGGAGATGACACAGGTGGAAAGAAAAGATTGTGGGTTGGAATCTTGACTGAAGAATAATCTTCACACAAGTTTCATCTAAACTTGGCTGTCTGCTGAGAGTTACAACAAAGAAAACTTCTCAAATATCAACCTATCTTCTCCCCAGCTCCTGTAGAGCTCATAACAAAAGCCCAATGAGAAATTCCTTGAACAAGGTGAGAGGGTCTGATCACTTCTGCAAAACTAAGTGCAAGTTAAAGTCATTGGGAAGAAAGTCTGGCACATTTGGTGTAGCTGTGCACCAAAGATTTGCTATTGGATTTTGCTGGAACTGGATCAGGCTGTTACTTTGAATGTACCCACGATCAATTAATTTCAAGCTGTGCCCTCATCTATGGCCAGAACAAATCAAGATTTTCTCCTTCTCCCACATATGCATAGGTGACATCATGTTGTTGGATAAGTGCTGCTTTCTTGTCCAGCCATTTATCCTAGCTTGAAGTTTGCTAGCAGTTTTCTGCACAGTGTGTACTGTACAGGACACCTGGAGAATATGCTTTGCATTTGCAAATAGTTGCTATGCATTTAGGTAGCATAAAATCAAAGACTGCTGATCTTTGTGTGTTAGGCTCATAGCTAATTCAGTGATTGAGCCTTCAGTGCATTAAGACTATGTTTTTGCCAATACTTGTTCCCAGCATCAGAATTTAGGAATACTTTTAAGTAACCCCTTTCAAACTACAATTGCACTTGATCAAGCCCAGTTTGGTCCAAGCTGGTTCATCAGCCTACTCAGCCTGAACGAAACTCCTGCATGTGGAAAGCTGGTTTAAGATCAGAAAGCCAAAGTCCTGCAGGAATATTGTGCAAAGGAGTTCTCTGATGTTTGCCCACTGTGACTATTAATGAGGCCTTGATGCCTAACATAATGCAGTTCTTCCAGAAGCAATGATCTAATCTGTGGTCAGGCATGCAGTCAGGCATACACTCGCTCTCCGTATTACAGAGCCACTGGAATAAGTGAAATAATTCACCTACTGTCTAATGGTTAGATGTTACGACTTACTGTGTGGCAGCATAGCTTATCAGAGGAGGTACTGCAGTGTGTATAGTTATATACATCATCCCAAAAAGCAATGAAATCTGTTTCTGTGATCAGTTAATGAGGCCTAATGGGGAACTACCTGTAGGCTGATTTTCTTTTGGAAGCAGGCCAGGGTGATGGAGAATAGTCATGGGCAATGCATGTGGATCTGGCCAGCTTTCTTGTACCGGGAGCCTCTTCTCTGTGCTTGCAGGGACCCAGCAGCATGTGTACAGCCAGGGCAAACTGGGTAAGTCCTTCCCTTGATTTGGGTCTTGATGACACGGCCTTGGTGTATCTCTGAGAATACTAGCTATGACCTGGTGAGGTAGAAAGGGTCCTTGGGGAGGGACGATTCACTGAATTCTCAGTGCCTTGAGCTGCTCCTTCTTAAGTTTTTCTTCATCAGTTAGGAGATGATTCTGGGCTGTCTGAGTTAAGCAAATGTACAATTAAACTCAGCTCTTCTTGTTACTCCCTCTCCTTCCTATATGTTATTCTATGGCCATGCAATGACTTGCTCCATTGGAGCACTTTTGCCAGGATAAAATAATAAAGAGCGTAGCCCTGCCCCTGCAAATCTGGCCAGGGCTTTATGAAGTCCATAGGAATTGCTCCGTGCAGGCATGATCTGAGTAGTCCACATTAATGCACCGGATCATAATATCTCAAAGAAATTATCAGTGGCCTTGGACTCTGTCATAGACAGATGCATTACTGTTTTGCAAATGTGGAGTTGAGTTAATGATAGAATAAAATTATTTAGAAAGCTAGTTGATAGGATTATGGCTGTAAAGTCTGACTCTCAAATTTATGCTCTCCTATATCTATCCTCCCCAGACATTATTTAGAATAATTTCTCCTTCCAAACAAAAAATAATTTTGGGAATGGCAGATTCCCAGCTCTGCTATGAAATGTCATCTCCATGATGATGATGATTATGGGATACAGCAAATGCATACATAATTATTCTCACAGAGCAGCAGAGAGACCCGTTTGCTGCCTCCTGAAATATATAACCAAAGACTTTTCCTCATGCTGTCTGCTCTGTGCATTTTCATGAGCTCATTCCCTAGGGCTCATTGTGAAATTGTTATAATTTTTCAAAGAAGGGGAGAAAAAAAAAAAAAAAAAAAAAAAAGAAAATACCTTTGGAAATGGCATTGATTTGTCTGTGAAGTCATTACAACTGCTGCTCTTTTGAAGGAGCAAGAAATGGAATTCCTGTCTTTTCTTTTTAATTTGAGGAGGTGGGAAGCAGTCTGATGCTAAGAATGCTGTGAATTTTGGAAGTGTTTCTCGAAGTATTTTCATATTATGCATGTGAGAATGCGCAGTAAGAGTAATAACAAAGTTGAGAATATTTTCTGACTTTCAGATGCACAGCTTGGCCTGTGTCAGTAGTTGTAACGGGATCTTGGTGTAGGGTGATTTATCTGATGCAAAGGGTTGTGTTTGACAGCCTGAACTTGTCAGCCTTGAGTCACGTAAGGGAAGGCCCAGCAAAATGTGTAATGCAAACATTCAAATAATAAAATGAAAAATACCCTTCTGAACTCTTTTTCACTAAGTATGAAAATTAAATTGACTTAACAAAACACTTTTCTGTCCCTGTCTTTTAACAACAAACAAAAGCTTCAATGTGGAGTCTGAAATTACTCATCAAGCAAAGAGACCAGGCTAGGATTTTGTAAAAGGTTGTGTGTAATTTTTTTTTTTTTTTTCCTTTTGAATGAAGCAATTAGTTCTAAAGGGAACATGTCATCTTCTGTACGCTGCTAAGGTAGAACAGTCATTGTGCTGTCTGGCAGTCCGTCAAGCTGCTCCTTGGGCACAGTTATTGGAGAAAGTGCATTTACACGTACTGTCGACGTCCGATGCCGGGAAGAGATTTCTTAAATAACAAGACACAGGCTATTATGTGCATTAGCTTTATTATTTTTTTAAAAGTGTCTTAGCCTTTGGGGACGGAAGGTACTTAATAATACGTTGCTATTTCAGCGTGCCAATGTGTTGTCGTCATATCTCAGGTGCTTTACAATCAAACGAGTGCAGATTAACCTTTAGCTGTCCATTGAATTTCTGGCTAGCTGCGGTTATGTCTAGAGCTCTCAGTGTATGCAGAGGGCATTGAAGGACAGCATACCTCTGTTGTCTTGGTGTATGGCCAGAGACTGTCCCAGGAGGAACGTCCTGCTCCATCACCAGATGAGCTTAGTCCTCATGGAGGTGGCTTTTATTAGGATGATGTGACTTTCCCTGGAGATATAAGATGTCTTGGAGATGGAGCATGACTAGACTGCTTGCACCTTGGAAAGCATGTGTTTGTGAGGTGACTGCTGAACCACTGGTTCAGTGGTTTTGGAAAAACAGATTGGGAATTGTTTGCTAATAGCAAAAACAAGCTTAATTATTCTCTTCAAGTTCCATGCTATAGAGCAACATCTTGAGCTTTAGAGGATGAAAGGATTTCACGTGGTCCCCTGGTGTTAAGGTGATGCCTTGTGTAAAATATGTATGGGAAGCTGTGTATTGTCCAATTACAAATCTCTTATCTCTCTCAAATAAAATACTACTAATAAAACAATCTTCCAACAGATCCTCCAGAGACTTCCCCTACTTAGATGGGAATATGTGTGAGGCTGAGCAGGTCTACCTTTGGTGCTGTTTCTGCCAACTGAAGTGGGGTTATTGTGGGGCCAAGGATGTGTCAGTCAGATGGATGTGGCTAAGACCTGGCAGGTACTCGCAACCACAGCACTAGAGTTAGATTTCAGAGCCTTGTTCCAAAGTGTAGAAAATTTATATCTTAACATCTTGTTAGAAAAACTGAACGTAGACTGCTCAGTTCTCATTTTTCTAGTAGATGTCACAAAAGCAAAAAACAAACACAACAATCCCTTATAATAAACACATCTTCTCTAACTCCAGGGATCTAGGGAGAGCCCTTCTGCAGGCTCCTCCTCTTACAGAAATAAGGATTGTACTGTCAGTATCGGTAGGAACAGATGAGTCTCCAAGGTCTTTGGCACTTTTGTCTGGTTTGGGTATTCAGATCAAACCTACAAAAGTATCTGAAGTCCGTTTTTTTGGTTTTTTTTTTTTTTTTTTTTTTTTCCTTTTTTAGCAAAGTCCTGTGCAGGAGAAAACCAAGAAAGAGTGATGACAATGTAGGTGAGGCTGATGAATGGGACTGGGAAGAGTAAGAATGGCTTCCTGCAGGAAATAACTATGGATGCCATCACTAGGAGAACTTCCATTTTTGGAGGCTTCTTAGTTTCTTTAGTCACTGATAAGATACACCAAGGGAGATCTCCAGGGAATTCAGGACAGGGGCTTGCTCTTGGAAATGCTAGCATTCTTCAAGGTGATATCTCTTCTGGATATCTCACTGGAGTTCTGAAAGCTGTGATTATGTCTGAGCTTTGTGGTGTGACTGAGTGAAAGAGCTGACCCCTAAACTTGGTATTGCACCTATGTGCTGTTGGCATCATTCTAGTTCTTAGCTTGCTCAGCACAAAAAAAAAAAATGGGGTGCTGTAAGAACAAAACCATCCATGTTAAAAAGGAGTCAACTGCCTCATAAGGAAATCTGAGAAAACCCAATCTCTACCACTTTATTTAACACGCACAAAAAAAGTGGAAAATTGAAACCAAAAGCTGTATTAAAACAGAGGGCTTCTTTGATTTCATAGGATGAAGCATGGATGCCTGGAAGCACAAAACAATGTTAGTGAGGACATTTAGCTCCAGATGGGAACCAGGTGTCACTTTCATATCTACTGTGCAATTTAATTTGCTGAGCCGTGTGGGCACTCAAAAGGCCACCATTTCTGTGGCACGCTACTGCCCAACCCAGCCACTACCTGTGCATTTTCTTCCACGTGAAGCTTCTAGCTGACTGTTCAAACAACCTGGGGCATTTGGATACCTTCTTCCCACAGTGTTTGTTTCTGTGTCTTGTTCTGGGACTTTGCATGAGAGTCTAGGATTCACAGAAGATGTATGTGCTCTGTCTCGCTGCTTGAGCACTGTGGTGTTAAGGTCTTGCCTGGGAGCTTTGTCCTGGTCCTTGATCATCCCTAGACAAGTGACTAATGTACTTTGTGAGTGGGGAAAAAGGCCTTCCTTGGGGAAGCTTGGTGTTTAGTGGCCCAAAGCAATGTATCCTTGTTCCCCATTAAAACCATCTAGTGCCCGAGACATAGAGCAGTCTGCCAGCATGCCTGTAGTGCCCATCCTGCCCCTGGTGAGTGCTTCAGTAGTTACTGCACAAAACTCAAAGCTCCTCCTTAAACCAGTTTATTGTTGGGGGCACTGTTTTTCCCCCCCTGCAGCGAGGAGTCTCTTTACTAAGAGATCTCCTGGGAAGCTGGCTCTTCTCTCTGTCTTCATTTGGATGCTTGTTTCCTGGGAATGTGCTTTAAGGGAGAGTCTGAAAAATGCCTTTTGCCTAGCAGTGAAGTTGTTGCCCAGAAATGTAAAGCCAGAGCCCCAGGGGACTGCTGAGCCACAGTGCTTCATTCCTGAACTGTACCAAGCAGCACATGGGAGCTATTTCCACCTCACTGATACAAAGTTTTGGGAAATTATGTGAATGCCTTCATCTCTGAGCAACCTGGAGCCCTGGCTGGTAGTCACTCATCTGTGAAACTACTCAAGTGTGGCACAGGGCATACTCCTGTCTGTTTCTGGTAACACGTGATGGGGTGAAAGGATCCCCTGCATGCACCTGGTGGACAGTGCCGTCCCTTATGCAACGTGTATGGGAGCAATTCCTTTGTGACTCTGGTGAAGATTGGCTTGTGTCCTGGAGAGCAGGATTTAGATCACTTATCTTCATTCTCCAAGCTACAGCGATTATTAATGGCTATGAAATGACCCAGCTGCGGTGTTTGACTTAGTGACCTTCAGTAATAGTGAATTGTGC